AGGAAGCATTCAGCTTTGCCCTTCCTCCCCGTGTCACTCCTTTGAAAACCAGGAATGAGCTGATTTGCTTATCCAAACCTCAGACACTGCTATAAAGTCCCTCTTCAGCACACATACACACACACATGCATGCACTCCCCTTACCTTATTTAGCCATTTCAGCCCCGGTATTGTGTTAGAGTTGATTTGCTCTTCCAGCCAGGGGCGCATCCGCATCCTTTCGACAGGCATTGTCACCAGCCTGGGAAGGAGCTGCAGGGAACAAGGGATAAGGTTACTTGTTTTCCAGGCAGAACTCCCAAGCAGCTTCCCCATCTCTGCACAGTACAGACTTATGAAAGCTTTGCAGGCATCAAACAATTATAAATATAATAGTGACTTTGGATCTGTGTGGAAACCTCCCCTAAAAGCAACGGAGATTATCAATAAAGCTTTCTCTATGGCAGAAAACACTCTTCTGGTACATCTGGATTAGGAAAACCGTCACCTGAAGAAGCCACATATTGGCAAAAGCTTGTGTGCTGATACAGGCAGGATACCAGAGGCTGCACAGAAAAATAACTACGCTCCAGAAGAGACCTCTTTTTGGCCTATGTACCTGCATTTGCACAAGACCTTTTTTTACCAAGAAAAAAAAAGTAACCAAAAAAATTCGCTTGAAGGCATCACTGCACTAGCTAAAATGATTCACCTGCTAACGAGAGTGCTTTCAAATAGCCGTTTCCGTCCCATAAACTTGACTAAAATTATGAAAAATACATCCCACATCACAGCAATTTATCAGACCACTTTGGTTCTGGCCGAGTAGTTTGACCCCCTCCTTCCAGCTTTCTCTGATCAATCCAGTCACTGATTTTTTAGCTGCTATTTTACATTTCAATACTGTTTAGCTAGGGAGTGCTTTACAGCCCCCTCAGCTGCACCATGCCACATTATATTTTTCTGTTAAGACTCAAACTGACTTTTTTTTCCCCCATTGGCCAAAGGCAATCTCATCCGCAACCATCGGTGCCGGATGTTAGAATTCCTCATGGCCAACAGGAACAAGGAGCAAACCAGGATGAAAAGCTAGATCCTTCTGCAACTTGTAGGAGAGAGGTTTTAACATGGCTTGTTGAGGCATGCACACAAAACACTGCCCTGTCATTGGGAATAATAGGCAACAAATTGATACAGTCATTAGGGAACTGAAAATGAGAAGTACAGGAAACAGCAATTAAGCAATTTCAAGCCTAAATCATAACAGCGCAAGAGAAACTCCCCAGATGCCTTCACAGCCTTTCAAATAATCACTGGAGAAGTTTTGCCAGAAAAAAAAAAAAAAAAAAAAAAAAAAAGCAAAAAAAATGAGAAGGACACATATTTGAAAGCACACAGCAATGACACAAATGTAAATGGGTTTGTTCGTGCTTCCTATGGGAGTACAGGCATCAGACAGACAGACTACCAAGCCCACACCCAGCACAAGAGGAAGAAAAACGTTCAAAGTTTCCTCTCATTGCTCTGAGGACATCTATTTCCTGAAACCAATAAGGAATTAAAACCTGACTGCAACAATAAGGCTCTTTGATGTTTTCAGAGAATTTACCAGCAGCCATGCTAATGCTAATCTCTTAACAAACATATTGGCATTTTATTTACTATTGTGTTGAGCTGGTCACTTGCACTTCAGCTGCAGTCTTTTCCAGTGACTATGAATTTCTAAAATAGCTCAGAAAATGGTTTCATCTGCTCAGCTCCCTTTCAGGTTCACATCAGACACAAAAAAACAGCCACCCCAGAACCTGACAGCGGCCAAGCCCTTCTGCAAATCCTCTCTCTGTGCAAGAGGGAAGCTGTCTTCTGGGCAAGGGCGATGCAGGTGCAGCTTTTTCGGCCCCTGGGATGGTGGCAAGCAGCTGGCCATGCCACTGCAGCCCCCTCCGCTTGGCAGCAATGATTCCCACCCAGGCTCCAGAGTGTGTATGGGAGACCTGCACCATCTTCCCCTACTACATGTTGGGTCAAGGCTGAAAAATGCAAATGGCAATGTACTAAAAACACAAGCAAATTTTAATTCCTCTGTCAAGGAAGAAACAAGTAGATGCAATGATCATCTTAGATGCATTTCTTTGTAAGATATCTTTATGCATGCACGTTGAGACAATTCCTGGAAACACAGTGCATCATCTTCAGCATTCAATATATGAGTGCTCCCATTTATAGCAGTGTGTCTCATCTTGTCTTCTGGGTAATGAGCCCCTAAGACAAATTTCAAGCCCATCTAAATGAACAAATTAGACAGAAGGCAGAAAAGTTATCTTGAAGGCAGCAGCAGCAGCGAATCCCACGTGGGACAGGCAACGTGGAAGAAACAGAAGCTGCCTTTGTGCAAAAGCAATGCATTTCAGGAGACAAAAAAGCTGCCAACATCGCTACTACATGGAAGCCGGTCTTGCCCAAAACAGCACTGTCAAGCCAGTAGTCTCTTCCCTCCCACGTCCCCAGGGGCTTT